CTGTGTGATCACGAGTTGTCGAAGGGATCAGGTATCAAGCATCAAAGAACAGAAAATCATATCGTGAATGAGGGATAGTGCAGATTAGGAACCCAAAGTCCATCTATGGGCAACTAGATAAGCTGTTCTGTAAGTAATTTTATCTTATTTAACATTCATTGTTTGAAGATTTCATGATAAGATTTTAATATAATTTTTTAGAAATGGTCATATTGCCATAAATTTGACTTTTTTTAGTCCTGGGCTATTTCATGAATATTGTTTGTAATTGATAAAAACTTATTTTATAATATGTTTTATTTTGTCAAATATTATCATCACTATGGTAATGACAATGTGTTATGATAAAAACAATTATAGTATGTTTTATCATATTCTTAAATAGTGTAGTCATTATGATAATGACAATGTGTTTTTAAATATTATAGTCACTATGATAATTACAATGTGTGTTAACTTTTAAGAAATTAGTAATGGTACTTTAAAAAATAATTTTTAGCATGTTATATTTCTGTTTTATGAATCCTTGATGATAATTCATCCACCAGTAGTTGAGAAAATAATAATGAAATGACAAGATCAGTCTCATTCATCATTAAAAGGTCAATTCAATAATGAAGAAATATTTGGGCATCTTCTTCCATTTTTGATTCGTAGTTTGCTTGCCCTGTGAAAATTACCAAGATTTATTACCAGTTTCTTAAACACAAAGTGAAAATTAACTCAGATTGCTTGATGGTTTTTTATATGAGCTTCTTAAACAGTCCTCCCATAAGTTGAGCAATAAATGTATAAAGATTTAATTAAAAGTTCAGAATCTTACCTTTAATGACTTGGTATACATTTACTAGCAGTTCGTTTTCCTGAGAAAGGACTCAATATTGAGTTATTTAATGGGCTTTCTGGTCCACCTGTGTGCTTCTTTGTTCTTCTCCAGCCCTGTGCCAGAGTGAGGTAAAACAGTTTCTATTAGTCAATACACACTTGGTGCTTGACAAAAGGTAATGGTAGCTGAGTGCTGTTAAAATTGTGGAGGGTAGATACGAACCACATGAAGGAACTAACATGAAAATTAGATGGTCAGTAAAATCTTTTTTATTGAATTTAATGACCAAGAAAAGGTGAGAAGCCATGACAGAGACTAAAAACTCAGATTAGAGGCACAAGTCATCCCTGCTAAGTGGAAGGGAAATACTAAGGGGCTTCAAAAAGTTTGTGGAGAAATGGTATTAAAGATAATGGAATTTGTCCATGAATTTTTTAACCTACTTGTACATTATTTAGTGGTGAGAGGGAAAAGAATGCATAAGACATGGAGGCCCTACAACTCTAGAGGCAATATATACGGAAGAGAGACAAATGTAGAGCACAACTTGTTATGTACTAGGTAGCGTTGCCAGCATCACTTTTAGAATAGATGTAAACTTGACAAAAGAGAGTTGACCGAATTGGTTTAAGAGAGCATGCTAACCTATGTAACCTTATATTTATATTTTTAATACTGCAGAAAAATAAAATTTAATTATAATGAATACAGTGTCTGGTATGGAATAAGCTCTTCCTAAATATTTATAGATTGAAACATCTATAGATGTTTATAGATGATAGATTTAAAGAATTTCTGAATAGAGTGTTTATCTTCTAAAAAGCTGTTAGTCAGTGCAAGGTGACTGACCAAATGTGTGCAGATAAAACGGCTTAGGACCTTCAAAGCTGTGTGTGTCAGAAACAGATTGCTAAACTTGTCTTCAGAGATGCCTCTGGAGGTTTGAATTGCCAGTCTTTCATTTAGTAACTTATCACTTAAACATTTCTGCCACCCAAAAAGTCTTAACTAAGGTCTTGATTTAGAAAGCAATCTGAAAAACACTAAGCACATGGAAAGAAAAATGTGCCCTTTGTTGTTTCTGAGTTGTCATCCCTGGTGTTTGGATGTCAATATATGCATATGTTTTGCTAACTGCAAGGTCAGTGGTTCAAACCTACCAACTGCTCTACAGGAGAAAGATGAAGCTGTTCCCATAAAGATTTGTGCTCAGAAATCCTAACAAGCAGGTCTATTCTATCCTTTACACAGGGTTTTTACAGAATCAGTTAATGACAGTGATGTTTATATGTACATTTTAAGAGTTATATTTTGGAAGTTACATACTTTAATAATGTACTCAAGGAATAATATATATAACATTTTTAAAATTCATCTGAGAAAAACTGGAATTTAAATTCTGTCCATCTTCAAACAATACCTTGAATCAGATTAATACCTTGACAAATTCTTTTCATGAAATAATTTCATTTTATAAATTAATTGCTTTCTTATAAGAGATTATTTCTATTAATCAGTACATACCATGTGCGCTTGATAAGAGATTTTAAAACAAAAACTTTTTGATGATAAATTCACTTGGAAAAATCACATATAAACAGGCCCCCTGTGTTTTAAATTCCCTCAAATCTACCGAACGACTTCATGTAGCTTTTTGTTTTTGTTTCAAATGATGTACTTTGTGGGAAAAAGAGTCCCTGGGTTGCACATATGGTTAAGTCTTAAATGACAAACTGAAAGTTGGTGACTCAACACTCATCCAGAGGTACCTTTGCAGACAAACATGTCAGTTTGCTTCTGAAAAGCCACGGCCCTGAGAGATCCGTGGAGCAGTTCTCCTCGGTGTACATGGGACCACTGCGCGTCGGAATCACTGTGACAGGAATCAACAGCAACAGTTATGGGGACATGAATTAAAGAACTCAAATAAATAAAGAGAGAAGTAGTATTTCCTAGGAAGTGTTTTAATTGATCTATGAAGTGATATTTTAAAACATTTTAATTTTAAGTATGTATAGGTAGTAATATTGGTAATGTATGAAATAGAGTAGTTTGTGAATAGCTTTTAATAGATTTAGACAGGAAAGGTTATCCATGGGAATTAGTTGTAATTGTTCTAGTTTAAAAAGGTTGCTGCTGTTTTCTAGGTATAGAGCACCAAGACTCACAGCATTCTTTCTTGGCATTTTTGAATACGCCTACCGATGCTCTGGATCAATTTGAAGTAAGTACAGAATCTTATACAAACGAAAACATATTCAGAAAGGAATGTGTTCTGCATTTTTATGTAAACAATAATTATATATGTATTTAATAAAACATTTAAGAAAGTTATTTAGCATTAGAGTCATTAAATTTAAAAGCAATATTATCTTATCCCCTAAGAAACTGTAAAATAGAACACTTTCCAACTTTTAGAATAAGTTTTGACACATTTTTTTCTCTAGTGCTAGAGAGGAAAAATGTGAAATTTTCAAACTTCCCAATTAGTAGATTGTTGGCTCTTGACTTTGTGTAAAATATGCAATAACAATTTTTAAATATATTAATTAGGTCTATGAGTCCAATTCTATAATAATGAAATGGTATTTATATAACCTTTGTCATTCCTTGCTATTTAAATAATTTGCTGAGGAAAAAAATAAATCAGTTTATGATGCCAAGTATATTTTTTCTCAGAAAATTTAAGTAGTGATTATATCATTATGTGACAAATAATAATTGTGCACCTATGTGCAGCACAGTGTTCTAGGTGCAGGAGATACAGCAGTGAGCCCATATAATTTATCTTCAAAGAATTTATTATATTCTCTGGGAAAAAATTAGAAGCAGAGTTGTTTAGTTACATTCTGAAGTGCTTACATGTAATTAGATAAGGATTGTCCTAAGTTTCATCTTAGTAAGCTTTGATTATAGAATTATGTTTTATTCCTTTAGGGAAGAGGGGGGCAAAATCACTTTGCATAGTGATTGTTGAATTTCAAAGTTTCTTAACAAACAATGACAGTGACTTGCTTTGCTCATTTATTTGAATTAATGTCATTTGCCTTTCAGTTGTTTTACAAATTATTATTTGTTCTTATTGATTGCTTCATCCATATTTTCTATTTTTTCATTGCTGTATTCTTTAAATAGGATTCCTTTTCTTCCTCATCTTTACTGATTGATTTTTTTGGATGACGTAAGTCTTTGAATTTCAAATCAGTGCATCCTTGAGTAAAAGAGATTAGTGAATTTATTTGAAGATTTCCCCAATAATGAAGTCAGGTTTAGAAATATCATACTTCAAAAATTTTTATGAGTAAAAATGTGCTTTTTTTCATGTCTTAAGTATAGTGAAGTACCTCTTATCAAGCATAATAAAGTAAAATACATACTTTTAAAAAGGCTTTAGCCATTGGAGAATCTTTATACTTCTATTTGCTTATTACATTTCCAAAGACGAGGAGGCTTTTTTGATTTTTGTCACTGTATAAATAATTGTTCATTTTTGTTGTTCCTGCTGATTGCTATCTCCTTTCCCCTCACTTTTCAGCGCTTCATTGTTTCATTTCCATGTTGGTAAAAATAAATCCTCTGGTGGTATAATTTAAACAAAGTCATATTTGTTTTTAAATTCTATAATATATTTTATCATTATATACCAGTGGAGTACTAGAGTACAGATCATTTTAATAATTTTTCTTCTAAAGTTGTCAGTATCATTTTCTGTCCTGAATTAGTTCTACAAATTTAATAAGTTATAAGTTTGTATAAAATGTATACCATTCATCTTCTTTATTAACTGCCTAGAATATGTATGGGTTTATTCCACATTAATCAGACAATAATCATTGTAAAACATTTTATTACCCTATTTAATTCCTTTCCAGAAATTGACAAATAAAATGCTTTTAAGCTGTATTTAAAACCAATGGAAAGTCTTTAGATGTTTTTCTCACGTGTTTTGTTAAATAGAATATGTATTATATTCAGAAGAGTATTTAGAAAAATTTTCCATTATAGGAGCCTCTAGATTATTATTTTACCCAAAAAGGTGGTTTTTAAATTTTTGAAATAATTAGGCCAAAATGCTAACCTTTTCATCCTGAGGAAAGTATTTTATTACTCTTGAGATAAAGGATCATTCTGGCTGTACAGTACAATAAAAAGCAAACTCTTTATTACAGTGGTTGACTAGAGAAACAAATCCAGGGATACTCGTAGTGATAAGGAAGAGCTGTATATCAAGAGGTCATTATATATCAGAACATCCCAGCCCAGTCCAACTCAAGTCCATATGTCCAATACTAGTTTATAAGTCCAATACTTGTCCATAAGTCCTTCTTCAGGCTCACAAAGCCATGTGAAATGATTAAGAATGGAGGAACATCACTGGCTGGTGGGTGCAAAGCCCTCTGAATCCAATGGCAGTGGCTCTAGCTGCTCTCTGAGTGACTCCATGGCAGGAAGGTGAAGGCAGAGTGGACCACCTCCAGCGAGCCATTTATCTGAGTGGTACCTCCAAATGAGGTCATCAAGCTACAACCTGATTGACAGACTAAACTCTACCCCTATCTTCCTACAGGTGCCATTTTGTCACAAAAAAACCTATCACCAATCGTCTAATCAACCTATTTAGAGCATTAAAATACTCAATATGGTATTTCCATACAGTTATCATTCACCTTTAAAAGAATAGAAAGATGTTTGAGTAAATTATATCATTGTTCTTTCCACTGTATTTTTAATTTAATTTTTAATCATCTCCTCTCCATCCCTTTCCCTACAGCACTATAAAGAGAATCCTGGTAAAAAGGGGTTGAGTTTATAAAGGTTGTCTGAATCTTTGCGAGCCAAAAGCACACACTTGGTGTCCCCTCATTTGCTTCCTAAGCTTCCTTCTCCCGGTATACTGGTTAAGGACATTAGCTAGTTTAAATCCCACCTCTACCAACTTTTTAAGTGTATGTATGATTTGGGGCAAATTACCTAACCTTTCTTTTTAAAATCATTTTATTGGGAGCTCTTATCACAATCCATACATGCATACATTGTGCCAAGCACATTTGTACATATGTTGCCATCATCATTTTCAAAACATTTTCTTTCACCTTGAGCCCTTGGTATCAGCTCATTTCCCCTTCCCTCCCTCATGAACCCTTAATAATTTATAAATTATTATTTTTTTCATGTTTTACACCAACCGCTATCTCCCTTCACCCCTTTTCAGTTCGTCCTGCTGGGAGGGTGTTATATGTCAATAGACTTTGAAATTTATTAATCGAATCTTAAGAGTTCTTAGTCAAATTGTATATGTATATAGGAAATTGCTTTTGGTTTGGTTTTATGTACTTGCCTCAATATTGCATCTTTAAAATTCTTTTGACAACTCATAGACCTTGCTATCAAGTACATCCCAACTTACACAGACTGTATAGGACAAACTAGAAATACCCCTGTGGTTTTCTAAGACTGTAAATCTGTATGGAAGTAGAAAGCCTCATTTTTCTCTCACTGAGCAGCTGGCGGTTTCAAACTGCTGGCCTTGCAATTAGTAGCCCAACATGTAACCCACTGCCACCAGGGATCCTTTAAACTGTGCCAGCTTAGAAAATAGGCTGTCCTCTAAATTCAGAGATAATTATAAAAGATGTGCATGTTGACTTGTTCTTATAGTGGTTGTGTAGGCCGAATTGATGAGAGAAACAAATCCATTAACACTCATAAATGTGTAAGAAAGGGTTTTATATCAAGAAGTAATTATATGTCAATCTAACTCAAGTCAATAAGTCCGATTCTATTTCATAAGTCCTTCTTCAGACTCATGCAATGATGCAGATTGTGGGAACGTCACAGGCTGGTGGGTGCAAAGTCTTATGGATCCAATGGCGATGGACACATCACTAGGTCTCTGGCAGCAACCAGGGTGTGCCAGCAAAAAGGTGAAGGCAGAGAGGGGGTGGTTCTCAGGTTCCTCCTTATGAGAAAGCCATGCCCAGAGAAAGCCACCATCAGCCTGTGACCTGATTGACAGATTGAATACCACCCCTTTTATATATCTTCAAGTTGACATGAAATTATGTAACCACCATAGTGGTAATATATTTACTTCGAGGTATTCTTGCTCTATTTCATTTTAGACTCTGGACAATAAGGATAAATTAAAAAGTAAAAGTTTCTGTTTGTTAAATACTTCAACATGTTTTACACACATAGTACTAGACTAAAGAACCCGTGTGGCCTGTGGGCTAGGCATTGGGTTTTTCAGTAGTTCAAACCCACCGGCTACTCAGCAGAAGGATGAGGCTATCTGCTCTCATGAAGATTGACAGCCTCCTCAGAGACTCTCAGGAGCAGTTCTGTTCTGTAGTGCCACTATGAGTTGGAATCAGCTCCATGGGCGTGAGTTTGGATTTTTTACTACTATATTATGCATAATATTAGATTCAAAGATAGACCAGTTGAAGATTTAAACCTCAAAATACTTATGTTAATAATACCAAAAATCCCTCATTACCCTATTTATCTTCTAATCCCTATGTCTGCATAGTATTTGATGTAAACTCTCCATGAATAGGTTGGATTGAATATAAAAATTCACTTACAAGGTATGGTTCATAATTGGGAAACTCTAGTGTTTACACAAAAACTTGAAAAATATTTTGAGATAATTGTTACTTTTTCCTTAATACTTAATTCTTTAATGTCTGAAAAATAAAGATCTCTTTTTACAAAGTTGAGTGGATAGTCAGGATGTTACTGACCGTCATCTTGACCATGGATATTACAGCTATTATGGAAGTAACTATTTTGTTTTAGTTAATTATTAATAACTCTAAGCTAGAATTTAACTCTTAGTATTAAAAGTATCATCTATGAAAAGAGTAAAACTGCTAGATATGTTAAGTGACTGATGCAAAGCTACATAATTCAATAGTTTGTTAATTACCTGTGAGTACTGAATCAGATTTACTTGGGTTCTTTTTGCCTCTGGTACGTTTCAATTTACCACTACAAATTTGTCCAGAAAAGAAAGTGTCCACTGTTTGTTTATTTTATAAGTTATTATTTGTGCTCGGTACTGTAAAAACTATATTATGAACTTAGTCATGACAACTGTCTACTTTTTTTTTACTGTCCTATCATCTAATTTTACTTGAAAATAGTGTACTTCCATTTTATCAAAACATGTGGCTTTGTGTATTTAAATACTTTACTAACATACTAGTAGACCTTGAGAGTGTTATGTGTGTAAATATTTGTAACCTGCAGTATTCCCCTTTCTTTGTTGAAGCACTCTTCGTCCTGTACTCCAGCTAGCAAAGGCAGACGTGTAAGAGATGATTGCACTTTGTGTCCCTATCACCGCTTCTGCCCACCACCTATCTTTTTTGCCTGTGTTTGCAGAACATGCTAACGTTTTTGTGAGAAATAGTACATTTATTGCATGTGTTGGGCTGTTGCTCTTGCTGTTGCTGCTCTGCTTCTGGGGAAATTTCTTTGTTTGCTTTTTTATTTTAACCTCAAAATCAACTATAACCAACTAAACTAATAAAATGATGATATCTTTTGTATTTTTACTCGGGTGGAGGAAATAATCCTAAAATAGGCTTCCAAAATTTAGCAAATGTAAAGTAAATGAGAATCTGGCCCAAGAAAATATATAGAGATTTCTTAAACATTTTAATTAAATAGAAAGCATGATAATTCATACTATATAAACTTTTTAAAAGATTTCAGTCATTACAGATCTTGTTATCTATGATTTTATATGAATTTGTTTTATATATACATACATAGTTTTCATATAATTCAAAGACTAGTCCTTAAATATATATAAGGGACCTTTAAAAAGTTTGTGAGAAACTTTCATCTTTTCCACTAACTTCAGTTTTTTCACTAACATTTTGAAATCCTTGTGTATTTATAGTTTTGTTAGTATACTAATAAATTATTTATAATCTAAAATAATTCTAAGGTTCATGTTTATTTTGAAAACTTACATGTTATAATAGCATACTTTCAATATCTTTGCTCAAGTTGGCTCATTGTTTCTCAATCTGAGATAGACCAGCCATTATACCCATTGTGATATGGGCAGAGTAAGAATCTGTGTATAGAAAGGTCTCAAATTTTTCTAAACCAGCCCCCTCTCTAACTCTCTAATAAGTTGCCACTATATACATACGGCTGTTCCTCAGATGAAGAGCAGTGAGCTACCTGAGATTGTTTGCTTTGGTTTCCACATACAATATAAAACAGTAACAATTTTAAAAGTCATCTGAGATAGGTACAAGTTTTTTATTTCACCTGCCAGCTTTATATGAGCATTGGAATTAATCTAGATCTTAAATCCAGAATTCTTAGATATAGAAAGCTCCAGATCAGAGAATTATCTTGGCTATGGATGGCATGGAAAGAGTAGGGTGAACCTTTGTTTCTAGTGTGATGGAGGTTACATGTAAAATAAACTGGATAATAGTAATATAGCATTGATTTTCAAACGAGTTTAATAATGAATAAACAGTTGAGATGCAAATGCTATGGCCAGACAATGGCCAGTGGAACTGAGTTCAATTACCATCTCTGATTTCATGCTCATTAGACTTACAAAAGATTGCTGGGTTTTGGTTTTGGTTTTATATTTTTTAGATAGTTCAAACCATTGTATGTTTGGATTTATTAAATGTGATGATATATTAGCCATAATATCATACAACCTCTATAGTGAAGACTAAGATTCTGTGCTCAGTTTTATTAGGTTTAAATCATCCTGTAAATTCATTGAGTTTTTACCTACCTATTTTATATGACTATAGTTCAGAGAGGTTTGACTTTCTCATTATCGTTATTAAAATAAAAATCTCAGTGCCATTGAATCACTCCAACTCATAACAATCCTATAGAATAGGGTAACTGCCCTGTAGAACAGGGTGCAACTGCCCCTGTGGGTTTCCAAGACTGTAACTCTAATGGCAATAGAAAACCTCAACTCTCTCCCACACGCCTGCTGGTGATTTTGAACTGCCGATCTTTCAGATAGCAGCCAAGTGCATCACTCACCAGACCTTTTATTATAGGTAGTATCCTCCCAGTTGACTTGCAGAGTTCCATAGTTCTTGGCCATCCATCATATACGAATATCTGTGAATATTAAAATAAGGAAAGAATTTTTGAGTGAAATAACAGTTAAAAGGTTCTAAGGCTTTATCTGTATGGTATAAAGAAGCCACACTTAGCCAAAAATTAACAATTCTTATTTTTACTACTATATGCATCCTCATTTATAATTTGCATAGGTTCTTTGTAAATGTGCTAGTTAGTTAAACATAATATAAGAATGATTTGTTGTTCATTGCATTATTAATATCTGAATACATATGGTTAGGGAAAATTCCATAGTTTTGTCATTAAATAATAAGCAATGAATGCCTCATTTCAAATTGTTCCTATTGAGTTTGGGATAAAATCATTCTTATTGCCATTAACTCAGTGCTGACTCATAGTGACCCCACTGTGGATTTCCTAGACTGTAACACTTTATGGAAGTAGAAAACCTGGTCTTTCCCCTGTGAGCGGCTCAAACTACCGACCAGAGGGATGGCAGCCCAACATGTAACAACTAGGCCACCAGTGCTCCTTTGAGTTTGGGATAGATGTTAAATACATTTTTTTAAACATTTGTAAATACTCATGAGTAGGTATTCAAATCAAGCTTGAAAATAATTTTAATTTTTTATAAATGTAAGTTACATTTTTACTATATTTTAATATGTAAGTTTACATATACTAGTCTTGAAAATGAAAACCAGGTATTCTTAAATCAATTCCAACTGATGTCATACCTATAGGACAGAGTAGAATTGCCTCACAGGATTTCAGGGCTGTAATAAAGTTAAGGAATGTTACAGACTTTTTGCATGAGGGTTATAAAGTATGGCTAACAGTACTAATAACCTTTCTTGACATTTCCTTCTTAAGCTTTCTTGCTTCTTATTAATATTAACCTTTAAGTAAAATAGTATTGGAGTATCGATGTTTCTAATGCATATTCATCAGAATAAGTTCTTAAAGTATGTTCACTTGGGAAAATATTAACCAAAAATAGGGAAAATTGCATTTTATAATCTTCCTTGCTTTATCGTTCTATTTTCATAAACCCAATTATAAATCAATTTCTATTATTGATTTATATCATATTCTTTAGTTTTTATTTCAGTATGCAATTAGTTGCTTAGACTTAGTGCCTTAATACTTTTCATAACAAACTTTTTAACTTCTTAGCTTAAATACAGTGTTAATAATGATTATATTTATTTAGGATATTTTAAAGTACTTTGTAGAAAAATAGTTTTTGCTCCACTGTCATACCATACAGAGCCATTGCCAATTATTAATTATTTAAATTAACCTTACGCTGTTTTAAAATCATGATAATGAGTATTCTGAAAGTATATTAGTGGATAAAATAAGTTTATTAGTGGTTACAAATGCATTAGTAAGCATTTATAGTTAAAATTCATAAAACTTTTTAAAACTTTGTGAGTGGTGATTTTGGTAAAGGAAATGTCTTTTTAAGTGGTAGTTTAAAATTTTTATCGCTAAATTTCTTCTGAAACATTGTCTACACTGGCAGTAACCTGGAAAAGAAGTGAATTATTAAAATCAGTTAACGTTATTAGATATTGGCTTCTTGTAAAATATTTGGAAACATCTGGATTTTATCTAATATTTTTAATTTTAATATCCAAAACATTTTTACCCTTGGGTTTACTCATCTTTACCGAAATTTGTTTCTTGTCTTTATGAGAAACACACATTAGAAAAGAAAATTGTTGTTTTACAATTTCAAGTATATACTCAAAATTTTTATCAGATAATCAATATCATTGTAATTGGCATCCCACAAATTTTTAAATGCTCAAGTAATGCCATCTCAAACTATTAGTACTATATATAGTATATATATTATATATCTTTATATATGTGCTATGTATATAAAGATATATATACTATATATATCTTTAATTTTTTGTTAAAATGAACTTGGTCTTGTTTAATCTGTGGAATTAATTTTTTCTTTAAGGGAATTAGCTCTAAAAAGCTATCATTGTCACTTTCATTATTTCATTTCATTTCAGTTAGTATTAGGTTGCTTTTTAATTTTAAGTGTTTTCCTTCTGAATAAACAGCTTTTACCTCAATTAGCTAAGGAATTACATTTTCTTTTTAATCTATTCTCACTCCAATTGTTTTCTATTTTTCTTTTCTTTTGATAAGTAAAAAACCTAGGCCAAAAATACGTTCACAGATGACAATAATTCTTCAGAAGGGCCTAGAGTTTTATACTAAAAACCTTCATAATTCACCACATGGTGTAATCACAGGTTAAACTGTGATGATGGGTATTCTCCTGCCTAACCTCCATCGCATGCTGATACATAACATCTTCACAAGGCCATGAAACGTGCTGGCAAATGTTTCAACAGTCAGTTCTGGGACAGGAAGAAGCTCATGGCCACCACTTCCTGAGACCTTACGTGGATGGTTAAGGCCCACTAACTAGTGCTCTGTAGCTCTCACACACCTGATAGGTTTTAAAAATATTCCTTAGTGGTTGGAAGTTGAGTTTTTATTGTCACAAATCCATGAGCTACAATAATTATAAAGCAAACTGCCATCAAGTTGAAAACCAACTCCTATCAACCCTATAAGAGCAGAGTAGAACTGCTATCCATGTTTCCAGAGCTGTGATTTCTAATGGAAGCAACTGGTGAGTCTGACCTCCCTGCTGTTCATTTAGCAGCCCAATACTTAACCCGTTGTACTTTCAGGACTCCTATATTAATTATAGATGGGGAACCCCCAAGTTTGAGAAAACAATTTGTATTTAAAGATGAAGCTATATGCCCAGAGTTCTGTTTGACTGAAAACTAGGCTGAACAGTTAATATCTTGGCAAACATTTTTTCCCCAAGTATATCTATATTCACAAGAATTTATTACTTATTTCATATTTTAAAGAGGTTTTCTTTTCACTTATTTCAAAGTACAAGAGTCAGTATTAATCAGTGTTCTAAAAATTCTATTTTGTCTAAACATTTTCTTGAATATACCAACATCTTTCATCAAAGGAAATTCTAAGTTGTGAGTATTGTATTTATCAGTCTCTCTCATTAATATAGTAACCATAATAGTAATAAAGCAAAAGAAGAGGAAAATCATTGTAGGTGCATATTTAAATTTCTTTAAATGCTGCTGCTCTTTTTATTGACTTTTATCTTCTGATATAAGCATTGTTCCTGCTTTCAAATGAGTTCTCCTTCCAAGATGG